GCTCACCGCCTCCCAACCTCCGCCAGCTGGGGTCAATGCCTGCAGACATTCCTGCCCACATTCCTGCAGACCTCGGGCTGAAGCATCCAGGCTGCCTCGTCCCTGGCATCAGTAAGGGTCCAACACAGGGAGAGAGGCTTTCAAGCTCAGAGGATTTAATACAAGCTATCAAGTAGATGGGCTGGGGGAGTGAAGCCCCCCCACAGCTGCCAGGGAGCCATGGAATCGGTCATCTTGTCCACCACTGCCTTCTGGAGCCCTCCTGTGCCCCCACATGGCTGAGCAAGACAGCGCCCGCTGTTCTGCCTCTCAGTCCCATGGGAACGCATCTCACTGTCAGAACCTGAGTCACACCTTGGACGCTTGCTGCCGAGGTGGCTTGTAGCTCTAACACTTCTAGGCCCTATAATATGAGGTGGTGCCGAGGCCTGGGAATGCCAGCACTGTAGACAGTGACACCACAGCCCTCCTGCAGGGACCGTGCGGATCGCCTCCCCCAGTGGCCTGGCCACGAATAAGGTGCCCTGGAGCCCCAGCTCTCCCGGGTCCCCCTCCAGATGGGCAGGCCCCGAGCTAACCACCGAGAGCTGGTGGTATAGCCTGAACCACCCGCCTCCAGGTCTGACCCCCAGCAGCCTTGAGTGTTAGGGGACTGGCTTGGGGTTGGGGGCCGGGTTCATGGGATTGAGGTGGCATCAGGCCAGAAATCCGTGAGTGCCCTCATCCTGCCTGCCAGTCATCTTCCTAGGTGACAGCATCCTCAAGGTGTCCCAGAGCAGTGGTTCCCAAGGGCTGGCCCCGGGCCGGAGCATCAGCCTCCTGGGGAGCCTGTTAGAAAGGCAGGTCCCCAAGCCCCAGTCCAGAGCTGGTGACCCAAAATGCGGGAGGAAGCCCAGCAGTCTGGTTCAGCCAGCCCTCCAGGTGACTGACAGGTGCTCACTTTTGAGAACCTGCTCTAGGGAATTAGATGTTGCTGGAACAACAGAAAATGGGAAACAATGCCCACCTGATTCATAGGGAGAAAACAGAGCGCATGTCGGCACAGAGCTCCCATCACGCTGAGGTGGCCCGCGGCTGGGTCGGTTCCCCGGAGTCCGCGTCTGGCTTGTCTGTCCCTCTGGCCTAGCACGCCCCTCAGCAACCCAGCGCCGTGCCCCGCGTATTTCAGAGGAAGAGAGGAAAGGGGGGCTACACCCTTCGTGTTGTGGGGGACAGAGGGAGACGGCTGGCGTTCCTAGGGTGGGCTCTCCCTAACAGGCCTGCCTGCCAGGAATTAGGAGAAAAAGCCAAGGGGCCGTCACCTTTTACCACGATGACGTGGCCTCTGGGGCGCATGGTTTAATTGGCGTCCTGAACCAATAGCACCTGCTCCTCGGAGGCAGCGGGACGGACAGGAAGCGCAGCCATCACTGAGCTCCCGAGCCATCCCACCACTGAGCTACCATCCCACCGCCCTGGGAAGGTAAGGAGCCCCCTTTCCGAAATGCGTGACTTCAGCCCCCCACCCCCCGCCGCCCTCCCAAACCCAGTTTGCACAGCAGGCTCCCCTTTGCCCTCCCCCTCCGCGTGGAGGTGCGTCGCTCCTGCTCCCACGGCGGCCGCCTAGCGGAGGCCGAGGCCCGGCCTTCTTCTGCCAGTCTTCTCCCCGGGGCCTGAGGCCTGGCAGGATCCATATCCCACCACATTCATACCAGGACAGAGACCCCTGTGCTGAGATTTTAAAAGCTGAAACCTACTTCCTGGCCTCATTTTCAGTGGAGTGAAGCTCAGAGTAACTCTGGAAGGGAGTAGCTACCCACCCTGGCTCAGTGTAGAGCACCCCGGGGGGCAGAAGGGGCCTCCGCCTGGCACCCTAACCCTAAAGAGCTTAGCACTGATGGGAGCCTCATTAGAGAAACATGGGTTTTTCTAAAAACATAGCTTCCAAGCTCTTTTTAATGAAACCCAGGATAAGGAATACATTTTACATTGCAACCCAGTACATATGTACATACAGGTGGGAAAAGAGATTTGTGAAAGAATATCTATGTTTACCATCTTTGTCATGTTTTCTGGTTCTTTTCTACTTCATTTTTAAAATGCTGGTCAAACCCCAGGTTGGTGACTTCCTGACTCACTAATGGCTGGCACCCTGCAGGATGCAAAACGCTGTCTCAAAGCCCACACCCTGATGCACCCTCGGCGGCCCCCCCACGAAAAGCAGCATCATAGCTCTGTCATCGTTACTAAGTTGCTGTGCGCTTGTCTCTGTCATTGTCATCTCAATTAAAAGCTCGAAATTGCTACAGGCCATAATACCAACTGTATTCTCTTAGTATTCCAGTGAATTAAAAAGAATACTTTTATTGAATCCATCTTAACTTCAAACTGGTGATGATTCGCACCAGCAGCACCCGTGGGTGCCTAGATTTTCGTTACCGGATTAGCAGCAATTAGAAATTCCAGTCTCAACCAGCATGTCTGCTCAGTGCCGACTGGCTCCCAGCAGGTGCGGGGCACCCGTGTCGTGGCGCTTCTCCCTCCTCCCTGTCTAGTAACAGTAGTTCAAAGGCTGGGAACGTCTCGAGGACGAACATGGGGCTTGAAAACTGAGAGGTGTGGCTTCCGGGACAGAGCCAGACCCCGGACTGTCACCGAGGGACCTCGAAGCCCTCCTTGCGCAGCCGGGAGGCTCTGCCGCTTGGCGAGCGGGCGCCTGCTCGGCCGCCCAGCCCCGGGGGGCCCGCAGCCCACGGAGACCCGCCGGCCGCCGGCGCGCGGACCTCGGGGGGGCGCGCGGGCACCGGCCCCACCTCTCCTCGCGCCCCGCCCACATCCACGCCCAGCGTGCGCCCGCGGGGAGCGGGAGGCCTCCCGGCTAATCACCCCCGCTGCCTGGGCCCCAGGGGGCACCGGGACCCCTCGCTCCTCGGGCTCGGGTCCGCCTTGGCGGCGGGGTTGCGGGCGCGGGCGGCTGGGCCGCGGCCGGGTTGGCGCCGCCCGGCTCCGTGCACACCGACGGGCAGGCGCACGGCCGCCCGCGGTCGGAGAAGCCGGGACCTGCCCTCGCCGCTGATGTCGAAACAGCGGACTCCACATTCAAGGCGGCGCCCAAGGGCACAAAGAGGGGCCCCTCGAATACAAAATAAGCGCCGGCTGGGGTACGAACTGATCGGCCCCGGCTCGTTTCTACCAATCACCTACTTTGCACCAACTTCCTGCACCCATCAGTGGGAAAGAAACAAGACAGGCGAAAAGGCACCCTGGGGTTCTCAGCACCGCTCGCCTGCAGCCTTGGAGACACGTTGTTACGTGAATCCCTGGGCCTCAGTTTGTTCACATGCAAAATAGGGGAAAGAAAACCTTCAGTACCTGTTCCAACAGACAGGAGCGAAAATAAAATGAAAGCCTGGGGCAAAATGCTTTAAGGCCGCCGTTTTGATAGGGCAGGTACAATACAGTCGTGGTGAAAATGGGAACGGACTGTTATTAGCCACTCAGTATTCTATAAATTTGTGCTGTTTGTATTTGTGTATGGTTGTGATGAATTCACACAACTGCTAATTTGAGGACACTGCTACAAACTGGACTAACTAACAAATTGATCCACCTATTCAGCATGCCTTTTAAAAGGTATGTTGGGAAACTGCTTTTCTATGTAACCGTGCAGGAGTGTGCAAACAGGCACGTGGCTGCACTGTGTACCCATTAAGTGCATGTGTGAAAATGCACACGTGCATGGGAAATGTGAGTTGCATTTACTACAGTAATGACTCGTGTACAATGCTACACGGTTTACAGAAAGCATTTGTATTCACTTTTCATTTAATCCTCAGAATATCAAGGGACTTTGTTAGTCCCCATTATACAGATGAGAACATCGAGGCTCCAAAAAATAACTTTCCCAAAATCTTGATGAGAAACAGCTGTGGAACCAAAACCACTTAATTATAATTCAGGGCCATTCTCATATTCGGCAGGTACGTGATGGACACCTACTGTGTGCCAGGAACTAAATAAAGCATGAGGCCCACAAAGACTGAAGACTTATTCCATTGCCCTCAAGGAACTCACGCCTCGTGGAGACTAGAGAGAAATGACAATCCTAGAATAGAAACTCTGTAATCAGTCTGTGCCATAGTGAAGGCTTCCAAGAAGAGGAGACACCCAGGCTGGATCTTAAAGGAGGAGGCACAATAAATGAATCCTGATGGAGGAGGACGGAGGCAGAAAGACAGCTCCTGCAGACATCAAGGCAAAAAAAAACCCACGGGCGTTTAGTATCGTTCAGCAGAGCCGGGCTTCGCAGGTGTGTGTGAAGGGAGCACTACGTGCTCAGCATTTGTGTTTTCCTGAAATCTATGGGGAATGAATGAAAGATCTAAGTAGGGAAATGATATGATTAAATTGCATTATATAAAGATCACTCCAGTTGCAGTGAGGACAGACGGAGTTACACTGGCAGAAGAGGAGATGGTGCAAGGATGCAGGCAGAACTCAGCATCTGTCCTTACTGAGACTGGAAGTGGGGTGGCAGGAGGAGGCAGATCTGAGATGCTTCTGAGGACCTGGCCACAGCTGCCAGGTTACTGAACGTGGTGGTGGTACCCCCCACAGACTAGAACAGACTGAGTGTGCGACAGACTAGAAATATACTGTCTTGAGCAAGGTGACTTTTAAAAACCTGAGCACATCTACATGGAAATATCCCCCAGCAAAGAGTCGGATATTCAGGACTAGCATGCCAGGAAGAGGTCTGAATTGTAGAGAAATGTCATCAACATCCACTGAAACCATGGATGGTTAATAAAAGCAGTAATATTTGCTCATATGCATTTGAGTCCCTCAAATCTAGTGCTATGTGGGGTTCTTTGAGCCCACGAATCAAGGCCCCCCCCCCACAGCCTGAAGGTGACAGAGGAAAAGGTTACTTCAGTGCAGAAACTCTGTCCCACTACACACCCAGAGAAAGCACGTCACAACTGTTCCTCTGAACTCTCTGGATTCCAGCCAGGCCGCCTCAGGCAGGCCGGCCAAGGTCAACCAGGGCCAGACAAGTGGGAGAGAAAATGCCCTAGACTTACCTTCCAACATTGCAGACAGTTCCCCAAATCATTTCCTCGCAAGAAGGTGCTCCCCACAGGTAAGCGGGAGCAGCTTTGCTATCTTATTCTTAATGGTGGAGAATTCCTTTGTGGGCCCCTCCACCTGCCCCAACATTGTTAATTTGGGAGTTTGTTGCGTAAGAGGAAAGGATTGGTGGAATGCAACTCTGAATACTGGCTTTACTTTAACTAATTAGTGATTATTTTGCCTCTTTAAGTTTGACCAGGGACTTCTGCCTTTCTACACTGGATTCAAGACTTCACACACAAGGAGACCTGCTGCCGTACTTCTCTTCAGAGGAACCCTAACCGTGCCCCACGGCCCTCGGGGCTCACAGGCTCACACCAGAGCTGGTAAGGTTCAACCACCACTCAGCGCAACGGGGCTGGCCTCCGTTCGCTTCATATTCAGACTCCTAAACCCAAGACTGTCCTATCCTAGCCAAGTCTCTCCTGGTCTGACCGAGAAGGTGGGGTGGGGTGCGGGCGGCTGAGTGGTGGCAGCAGGTATCCTAGAGACTTGACGCGCGTCACCTCTGCCTGCCCCAGAGACTGGCGGACCCCGTCACGGTAAAAGCTTTTCTGGAGGAGTGTGGCTCTGGGCGGGAAGCCAACCCCGTGTGATGTGGGAAAATCAGCTCTCTGGGATCCAAGATGAAGGGGCTGAAGCATCTCAAAAACACTTTGCGGATCAGCGTCCACAAAGTACTTAGTAAATACAAGAGAAGGTAGGGTTCCGGGGCTGCCTCCGTCCCGCTCCGTCCGGAATGGTGAGGGATTGTATGTCGGTACACGTGGCAGCCTGGAGAATGCGAGAGCCTGTATGTGAACCGACAGATCCGCTAGATTAAAAGTTAATATAGATGTAAACAGGTATGATATATATTATACACATGTATCTGTATTACATGAGTACACATGTATGTGTGTATACACATATATACACACGCAGGCACATGTAAAGATCCTGAGAAATTGACGAGTCAAGAGAGGCAGCAGGTTGATGGCAAAGCCGGGTCTAAAGTCCAGATTTTTCAATTACTTGTCAGGTAATTTGCCCACTGGCCTCTGTGTATGCATCGTGTAAGTCACCAAAACCCTGGGAGATTTGATGAGATTCAGGTTTAATCAGTTCCATGTGTGGTGTTTCCTTCCCCCACGGTCATCATCTCATTAGAAAAAGCTGCAGGGTCTGGCGACAGCACGCTCCTTTCAAATGGGGGCCCCAAGAATTCACCCCTGCCTTTAAATACTAACCCTACATGTAAATTTGCTGAAGGAGAGAATCCTGAGATCATTTTTCAGAAGTGATGACAGAAATCCATTGAATGAAAGAAGCTAAAGGAGAGGAAATGATGCAGCTTGTCCTTCCACGGAGGACACTGCGGGCACTAGGCGAGGGGAAGAAGGCACTTCCGCAGCTCCATCCCGGCTGTGTGCCCTAGGCAAGTGGTGGCTTTACCTTTTGGGGTCTCGGCTCATCTTCAGGAAAATTTAGAAGTCGAACTAGATCATTTTAATGACCCCTAACATTTAGATTTTATCTTAAGAAATTCCTGAAGCAAACTGCCTTGAGTTCTGGCCAATTGTCCCCTGCCTCTGTGCTAGGGAATGAAAAACTGGGACAGTGGTCTCAATAATCATTGGAACAGTCATAGTAAGAATAATAGCAGTTAATGAGAAAGCGAACCTTTGCAACTAAGCCTTGTTTAGACTCAAGTAAAAGTGGTTTGCAGGCTACTGCCTTACTTTGGCTCGTTCAACAGTCACTGAGTAAATATGGAGGCGCCCCTTTGTACGGAGCAGCGTGCTGAGGCCCGGGAGTTCAGCCGGTGTACTTGGGCACATTAACCAACAGGAAAATGTGCTTTCGAGGAATAATGCCAAGAGCGACCTAGAGTCAGCGAGCTGGTGCCCGACTCTGCCCCGCCGGCCTTGGGGTCCGGGCCGAGGGGCGGTCCCCGCAGCGCCGGCCTTCCAAGCCCCTCCCCGGGCTGAGCCGGGTCCGGGAGGCCCTTGGCACCGCCGCCCGAACGCAGCGCGCCCTGGGTGCCCCCCGGGGCCCCCTCCCTTGGGACGGGAGGCGGGAAAAAGGAGAGAAGCCGCATAGTGAGCAGCACATTCTGGCAGCAAGGCCTTCGCAGACGCCCATGTGTGCTGCACATTGGGCGGCCCCTGGGCTTTGATGTCTTTTCCGGGGGAGACATTCTCTCTGACCGCCTACGCCCTGCGGACGCGGAACCGGGGAGGCAGGCCCGGCGGGCCGGCCCTGGGGCCTCGCCGTCCCGGCCCCGAGCGCCCCGGGCCCCGCCTCCCGGTCCGCGCCCAGGCCCTGGCGTGCGGGCGGGCGGAGCCACCCGGACGAGCCCCGCGCGTGCCCGACAGCCCGGGGGTCGCGGGAGGCCCCGTCGGGGCGGGAGGCGGGCGTTGGTTCCGTGCGGAGGTCTGCGGCGCGCCCGCGGCCCCGAGGAAACACGCTCCGGCCCCTGCGCGGTTTATTAGTCCCTCACGCGCCGGCTGCCACCCCCTCCTTCCCACGGCCTCCCTCCGCCCCGGGCAGCCCGGGCAGCGTGCTTCGCGGGGCCTTGGGTCCGCGGGGTCCTCCGGGGACCGGCGGCCCGCCGGGAGGACACTGGACGCAGGGCGGACGGGCGGCGCCAGTGCGGGCCCGGCTCTCGCGCGACGCGAGGCTTCGCCGACCTGGGCACCTCCCAAGAAGGCGGGGCGGGCTCCCCGCGAGAGCTCCCGCCGCTTCCGGGTCTCGGCAAGCGCTTCCGGGGTGCGCGCCACGCGGCGGATCGGGCGGCGGCGGCAGTCGCAAAGGCTCGCGCGCGGAGAGAGCCGCCGTAGGGTGGCGGATAGTGACGCAGGCGGGCCACGCCAGGGCCCCTCCAGTCAGTCACGCCAGCCCGGAGAAGGGCCTTCCGCGGCCTCCGCCCGCGCATGGTCGTGGGTGCGGGCGGCCCGGAGCGAATGCAGGTTTGCGCGCCCTGTCTGGGGAAGGGCCCTGCTTCCGGCTGTCTGAAATGACTGAGCACAGTTCACCTGGCCCGCGAGGGTCGGGAAAGCAGCCCTCTCCCCGCTGGGGGGGTCAGCGCGGACCGCCGACGCCGAGGGCGGGGCATCCCGCAGCCGTCGGCCCGGGTCGCGCGCGGGGTTAGACGTGGGAGCACGTCCTCCTGCGGTCACCTCGCGTGCGAGCCTGAAACTATGCAGCAGGCCCAGGGTGCACACGTGGGCGCCTTTACCTGAAGTTGCTCCCTTCGGAGCGTCCGTTCTGCCAACCAGTATCTATTGTCTCAGCTCCTACTGTGTGTTAAGATCTTTCTCAGGCCCTTTGGGGGATACAAGGCCACAAAAGGCTACGTTGCTCCTCGTGAACCTGGCTCAGGACTGGGAAGTAGTGCGTTAGTGGAATAAAGTGGGGGTGCCCATTAAAATTACTTCTGCTGGACATTTTTTTCTGGAATGAATCAAAGAAGGATGTAATGCTGTATGCCTGGACTTCGGGCTCGGCTCCCCTTTTCTGACCCTCAAGCCGACTAACCCTCCCCCCGGAGATTTGGAATCCCCCTTTCGGGCGGTGGGCGGGGGGAAACAGCCACCCCAGGTAAGTACGGGAGCCACGTGGTCTCTCACAAGGAAAAAAGGAAGGTGGGGGCAGATCGAAGCTGGAGGAGAATAGGAAACCTTAATAACCCCCAAAGCAGCAGACTCCGTGCCCGAGGGTGGGGTGTGAGAAACAGTCAACATTTGGAGCCCTGTTGTAAGAAGATTTTTGGCAGCTGTTAGATAACTTTCTGATCTGCCATAAAGTGCACGTGACCAAGAGGATATTTCCGCAATTCCGTTGCCTGGTTACCTTACTCTCCCAGTCTGCGAGCTTTAAGACATTTTCCTGGCTACCTGTTGCCTGGTGGCCCTGGCAGGAGTCCTGGCGGCCGGGGAATGCTCTCGTCAGACGGGCAGTCCCGATCTCACCAACCTGTTGCTCCCCCAGTTCTCACCTGCAAGGTGTCCTAGAGGCCCCCATTTTCGGAATGGGGAATTCAGGCGCCCCGCCTTTCCAGCCACCAGCCTGTGTGTTCCGGACCCTTCCCAAACGGTTTTAAACTGGACTTTTTCCGCCTATGTAAAGCTGCGAGCGTCTTCCGCAGCCCGGCGTCTTCTGGCCACAGCAGTCGAGTTTCTGGAGCGCAGTCCTCCGTAATTAGAGCCAGACCACTATGGAAATACATGCAAAATGTTTACTTTCCTTAGAGAAGAACTAAAAATTAGAAGGGAGCCTGGCGTGCACTAAGGGACTCCTTGGGAAGCAGCGCGCATTGAGGGGGGCCCAGCACCCCCCGACCTCGAACGCTCCCGGGCGTGGGCTGCGGGAGGGCGGCGGAACCCAGCACAGGCGGCTCCCTGCAGCTCCCTGGTTCGTCCTAGCCGGGATCCCGCACGGTCAGTGCAGGGGTCCCCTCTCGGTGGGTCCGTGGGCCGACTGGCGTCGCTCCCACTCCCAGGTCCCCAGTCCTGCACGTGCGGACTGGCCCGCCCACCCGGCAGGTGGGTAAGAGCAGTGTTGCATCGGCCTCTCGGGTCCGGGGTTTTGCGCAGGTTCTGGCCCCTTTGGAGGGACCGTCCTTGTTTGCCGCCGAAAGTGAACTTCCCCGACGTGCAGCGGGAGGATAGCACTGGCTGAAGAGCAGTCGCGGGAACGCCAGCCCCCCACCCCGCCTGCTGGATCGGAAACGCACCTGTGAGACGCCAGGAAAGGAGCTGGGGTCGCAGGGTCGCTGGTGGGGCGGAAGCTGTCGGTCTAGGAGGACTCACCCCGCTGTCGGAAGTGGGGACGGCAGTTATGTCACGTTTCCCCAGTTTCTAGGAAGAAAATGCGGGGACTTTCCCCAGGAGGAATAAGCGGACAGCGAGGACGACCACCAGGGCCAGGAGCAGCACTTTCAAACTTCTTATTTATTGGGCAAATGCCCCCGTTTTGCAAGCCCTAAAACGACCACAGGCTAAGACGCTGGCTTGAGATCCCAAAGCCATCGAGAACAGCAGCCAGGACCCAGTCGGGGTGTGCCCGGCCCTGAGATTCAGTGAGCGTTTGCCACGCAGTGTCTGACAGGTGCTCAAGGGGGACCCTCACGCCGTTGCTAATTCCACCAGAGGCGCTGATCTGTCCAAACTCCTGACGGCATTTGACGGGTGGGCGGAGGGGGGTCATCCTGAGGAAAAAGACTTGCTTAAACCTGCCGCAGGGAGGAGGTGCGGGTGGTAAGGCTTAAGTAGCCAGGAGTGTGTCCTACTTCCCACCCATCATAAGGCCCGTGCAGTCTAATTTCACGCAGCTGCCTGCCAGCCCCGCACAGCCGAGCCCCGCGGCGACCTGCGCGAACCGCTTCAAACTGTAAGAAGATCGCTCTGGCCCAAGTGGCCCGGGATGACAGGGGCCCAGGGACGCCCCTGGGGCGGCGGGCGCAGCGCCCCCTCCGGTACCGGGAGGGGAGGGCCCGGGCGGGACCTCCCGGCACCTCCCCGGTGGCTGCCTGCCACCGCTGCCTCCAGCCACCCCACCCACCACCAGTGGGTGCAGCCCCCTGGCGCCCTTTCCAGGCAAAGACCCTCCGAGATACTGAGCGAGGGACGTGGGCTCTGGAGACCACCCGGAGACCCCCAGCGGCCACACGTTCAGCCTTGGTTGGAAACTCGAACAGAATCCCTGACATCCTCCACATTTTGTGCACACTTCCCTTTTTCTTTCCCTCTCCTACAATTTCTTGTTCCTTCAATTTCTTTCTTCTCTGTCTTGATTTTTAGAGTTTCCAGACTGCCAGGGTCCCTGAGAGCAAAGGAGATTTCACTCCCTGGTTGGAGGAGGGAGGACCCAGATAATTCAAACTGGCGACCTAATCCCCGTGTTTCCCAGGGAGCTTCCACGGGGTCTGGCGCCACCAGCCACAGGCAGCGGCGGAAACTGGCAGAGCGACAGAGGGGAATACATGGATGTGGTGCCCCTTAGCTTGGTCTCACCTGTCCGCCAGCTTTCCTTGGCCCCGCTGGGTTAGTCAATAATTGTTTTGTAAAATGAAACTTCGGGGGGAAAGTGGCTCACTGGTTGGCATTCACTAGGAAATCATAGTGCCCCCTCTCCCACCACAGTGACTGTAAAATGAATTAATATACCCTGCTAGGGTTAAAAATCCTTTTAAATACCCATTCAGTCAGCTGCCTCCAGGTCTGGTGTAGTGTTTCAGGGGCAATTCAGGTTCAGCAGTCTCAGACTAACCAGAAATTCTCCTCCAGAACTTCTCTTCCAGGCCCAAAGGGAAGGGAGTGCTAATGGGGATGCGTGTGGCTGCAGGGGCTCTTTCAAACAGTTCCTCCTTAATGCCCCCTGGAGGCAGGGCCCTGTGCAGCTGACTGCTGGAAAGAAGGACGTAGGGTCCCACCCCCTAATTCTCCCTGCTCAGGCTCAGCATCAGGAGAGTGAAGTAAGGGAGAGGGGAGAGAACATAGACAGCAGAGAGGACCTGTGCTGGGACCGCCTTTACAGGAGAGGAAACAGACACAGGTCTCCCCCCGAGCAATCCCCCAGCTGCCGTGGGCCTCCCCGCACGGGCCTGTGCCTCTCCTTTATTGCTTCTGTCTCACCCCCCGCATCTTCTTCAAATGCTTCAAATCCAAACTCTAAGGCATTTTCTCAAGAGTGTAAGCAAGCAGTCACCAGACAGCCTGTCTGGATGGCAAGGAGGTCCCTGAGGACACCAAGCAACTACTGACAGGTGCTGGGAGGTGGGTGTGCAAGTAACCGTCTAGGACCGGAGCTGCGGGGGCCTCACTGTCCGCAGCTGATGTGCAGGTTCCCAGAGCCCCACAGTCGCTCTTCCCCGGCTTAGGGGTGGCGGGGCTTTTGCTCACTGGGACACTTGGAATTAGAGGCCAAGTGAATCCTCCCTGGGCCTCTCCAGGCTTCTAGGCTGCAGGCTGAAGGCAGGAGCTTGGGGCTTTGTGTAGATGTTAGTAGTATGAGCAAAAAAGTCCAGTAAATCCGAGTTTTAATCTCAACTTTGGTGTGGTGGGGATAGAAAAATGACACTAGGGGACACATGTGAGGGCCTTGAGCTCCCCCGGCTGAGTAAGAGAGCCCTGTTCATTCTGACTCTCAGGGATATTTTGGAGGAAAAGGCACTGAATGGTGTCCAAAGGGTCAAGTCCTTGGAACCAGACTCCTGTCACCTAAATCACCCTCCAGGAGGGCATGTTGGAGGCCCAGGGAAGGCAGCTTCATTCCCTCTTCAAGGTCACGGGGAAGCCGGGCCCAGGCCGCAGGATCCCCCAGTGTGGCATCGGTGCCCAGGACTTCGCTGCAGTTGGCAGCGAGGAGGCACGGAGTGTGTTTGTGCGCACAGATCTCCGGCTTGGGCCAGGCCCCTGCTCTCTGCCCCTCAGTTTCCAGGTGGGCACACAGGGTTTGGAAATACTCCTCGTACCGTTTGTGAAAATTCAGCAATATTCAGCCTGAGCCTGTAACATGGTTGACAATTAATAGGCTCATTAAAAGTTAGTTCCTTCCCCCATGTCCTGGAGGTGGGGGCAGGCAGATTTTATTACTCCTCTTTTCTTGATGGAAAACTGAGGGGAGGTCCTGGAGGAATGACGGAGGACCACCCCTAACTTTGCATGACTTCTCAGACTGAGGCCCCAGGGCCCCAAGCCTCAGTCCTGCTAAGGCCCCTTCCTAGGGTAACTGCACCCTCTCGGAGCCCAGGCCTGGGGCTAGGTGAAGGCCAGGATGGTAGTGTCCAGCGTGCTGGTGCCACCTGACTCACTGTAACTGGGCTCTGAGAATCTGCCCACCCTAGGTGTAGGGGAGACCCATGTACCCGCTCCAGCACCAATGAGCAGCCAGCTCCTGGTGGGCTGCGGTGGCTTCCCTGCCCACCTTGCCCCTCCTCCTCTGTTCTGAAGATTTCACCCTGTCCACCTTGGCCCCGCCCCCCACCCTCCCCACCACCACCAGGTTTACTGAGCGGCAGAGTCTCAGAGCTGCTGCATGGTGACCAGGAGTGATGGGGAGCATTAGGCTGTGATGCCTCAGAGTCCTTAGTGCCCAGATGTCACCCGTGGGGCCTGGTGCTCCTGAAGTAAAGGCCATGGGGTGGTGCCTGTCATATAGGTCCCTATTCCTTGCTCAAGGTCTGAAACAACACCTTGTTCTTTAAAAATCGCCAGTCCAGCTTCACACCAAGAACAGTCCCCAAGTCCTTTTCTTCCACAGCTGGCCCCTCTGCACCCTCTGGAGGCCAGGGCTGAGACCTCCTTCACCCTGAGTACCCGCACCACCTTCCTGGGATCTGGGGGTAGATCCCAGAAGAGAAGAAAGAAGGCAACAGTGTCCCACCACGAGAGAGCAGTCCTTCCTGTCACCGGCAGGCAGACCACGATCTGG